ACAACAACACCAACAACAACAACAACAACAACAACAACAACAACAACAACAACAACAAACAAACAAACAAACAAACAAACAAACAAACAACAACAACAACAAACAACAAACAACAAACAACAAACAACAAACAACAAACAACAAACAACAAACAACAAACAACAAACAACAAACAACAAACAACAACAACAACAACAACAACAACAACAACAACAACAACAACAACAACAACAACAAACAACAACGAGAATCTGCACCGCGGAATCCCACTTCAGCCACGCACCCAGGGACAATGAATGACCGTTCGGCCCCCTCACTCTGACCACGAAATGTTCTTAGAACCCAAAAGTGTTCCAAGGACAACAACGATGTTCTTAGAACATCAACCCGATGTGCTAAAACAAGACGGACTCCGCCAGAAGTGTTCTAAGAACACTTCGTGGAAACCACAGAATGTTCTCAGAACATTGCTTGAGAGGGGCAAAAGGCGAGCCAGGACGCTGCGCCGCTGCTTGAGAGATTCGAGCTCCCGATCCTCCTCCTCCTCCTCCTCCTCCTCCTCCTCCTCCTCCTCCTCCTCCTCCTCCTCCGATCCCCCCCCGCGCCGTGGACCTCCCGCGGAGGGCACGGCGAAGGAGGAGCCCGGCGGCATCACGGGCGGAGGCCTCGGCCGCCGGGCGCAGGGCGCGCCCCCTCCGCCCCCCCGACTGGGCCGCGCGACCCCCGGGGGGCGAGCTCGCCGCTCGCCGAGCGCCCGGCGCCGCGCCGCGCTGGGATCGCAGGCTCGCCGTCGCCATCGCCGGGCCGGACGGACCAGGAGCGGAAGGGGGGGGGAGGGGGAGGAGGAGGAGGAGGAGGAGGAGGAGGAGGAGGAGGAGGAGGACGACGACGAGGAAGACGAAGAAGGGAGGAAGGTAAGAGGACGGAGGAGGAGATAAGGAGGAGGAGGAGAAGGAATAAAACCTGCTGTTCCTCCTCCTCCTCCTCCTCCTCCTCCTCCTCGACCTCCTCCTCCTCCTCCTCCTCCTCCTTCTCGTCCGCCTCGATCGCCTCTCGAAGCTGGACTCGAGCCGCGCTGCCGGCCCCGCTGCTCGGCCGAGCCCCCCCGCCGGCGCTGGCTCGTTCGCGTCGGGGCCTGCGGCCGGAGGCGCTGGGCGTCGACGAATGCCAGATCGGGGTCCTGAAGGAGCCCGGCCGTATGCTCTTTCGTTTTTGTCTTCGAACCACAGGCCCAGGGACAACCAGATCGACTGACACGGATCAAGGATCGGCCACATGTTTTGAACAGTCGGGTGGCGTTCGTCTGCACCCCCCACGGACCACAGGTTGCCACACTGTCAGGGCATCGACGATTGTTGGAGCCTATGTCTACTTGTCCCTGACGACATTTTGAAGAGTTCATGGGCGGTCCCATCACCCTGCTCGTTCCTGGCTCGCTCGCCTGCGGCGCTCTCCGCGTGCGGCAAGGCCGACTTCACCCGGGACGGCAAATTCTACGACATCAGCGTCCACGTCACGCCGTTCGGCACCACCATCGCCCCCACCTGGGTCCTGGGGCCCGTCGTTGGCCGCAGTGAGAGAATTCAAGGAGGTGCTGAAGCTTGTCATCCCGTGGACGGCACCAACCTCTGCGGCGACGTCGGCAACGTATCCCATGCAGCCGATTTCGGTGCTGCACCGCTGGGTTCGACCCAACCCTTCGCGCCACTCGGGGTACACATTCCCCAAGCCGTGTTTGCACTTAAGGGTTTCCTGGCTCTTGTCTAGGATCCAGAGAAGTGGATCTATGTAGCCGCCGTCGCCGCCCCGTCGACGCCTCGTCGCCGCACGTCGTCTGGGCGTGGGCGGCGGTCTGGCGACTATGTTAAGTCGGGCATGTCCTTCCACTGGAGGAATATTCAAACATGGTCCTAAAATTAAGCGGGGACGATGTCTCCAATGTTTTGGCTCGTTTTCGATGTATGTTTGAATATCTGACATTTTTCGTCCAATATCCGCCTGTAGGGGGACATGCCAGACCTACGAATACGTTGCAGCCGTCGCCGCCCCGTCGCCGTCTCGTCGCCGCCCGTCGTCTGGGCCCGGGTACCTGTCTGGCAATTCCGTGGTCGCCGTGCCGTCGCCGCCCCGTCGCCGCCCACCGTCGCCGCCCATCGTCTGAGCCTTGGTGCCGGTCTGGCGGCTCCTAGTCGCCGTCGCCTCCCCATCACCGCGTAGATTTTCTTTTGCATAAAAAATATCAGGGTCGACCTCCCCCCCTGGACCTATCGGCCGCCATCTGGGGATGTGCAATTTACATACGATTCTGCCCCATCGTCTATATTGTAAACGTACTCGTACCATCCCAGGCAGGCGGGCATCCCTCATCCTTCCAAAAATATTGCGAGCACACTCCTGTATCAAAAATCATATGCTACCCTTGCAAAAATTAGTCCGACGGTAGGACCCCACATGAATCGATTTAGCTTGCCCCTTGTTTTTTCTTTTTCGTCTGGGGGAGGCCCCCCTGCGCCCTCTCCATTTTCCCTCTCCTCCTCCTCCTCCTCCTCCTCCTCCTCCTCTCCTCCTCCTCCTCCTCCTCCTCCTCCTCCTCCTCCTCCTCCTCCTCCTCCCCCTCCTCGTCCTCGTCCTCGTCCCGGCCCTCGTCCTCCTCTTCCTCCTCCTCCTCCTCCACCCTCCTCCTCCTTCCCTCCTCCTCCTCCTCCTCCTCCCCTCCCTCCTCCTACCTCCTCCTCCTCCTCCTCTTCCCATCCCCTCTCCTCCTCGTCCTCCTCCTCCTTTCCTCTCCTCCTCCTCCTCCTCCTCCTCCTCCTCCTCCTCCTCCTCCTCCTCCTCCTTTCCCTCCTTCTCATTATCCTGTTCCTTCTCGTCCTGGTCGTCGCATTTCTCATCCCCCCCTCTTCCTCCTCCGCCCCGTCCTCCTCTGCCTCCTCCACTCCCCCTTCCTCCTGATGTTCCTCCTCCTCCTCGGCCTTTGCCTTGCCCTCCTCCACCTCCCCCCCCCCCTTCTCATCGCCGCCCCGCCCCTGGCCCCCTCTGCACCCCTCCTTCCTCCTGGCGGGGGCGCGCGCGTAGATTTTCCTCGGCGCCCTCGCCGCCGCGCCTGGCAGGGGCGCGTTCTCTGACGGCGAAATCGCGCAGCCGTCGGGGACAGCCCCGCGGGCCAGGCCGCCGGGACAACCCCGCGAGCCGCTGGCGCGCGAGAGCCGGGGCGCCTCCGCGCTCAGGCGGGGGGCAGCACGAAGCCCAGCACTGCCGCGAGCTGCTCCGCCTCTGCCCTGAAGCTCCCCGCTCTGACGTCGAACTCCAGGAGCGCCTTCCGCAAGGGTGCCGGCGGCCATCGCTCCAGGAACTCTCGCGGCGTCGGCCGCCGGATCAGAATGCCCCGCACGCGCGCGGCGCGGGGGGGCATGGCGCAGAGGCGCAGCCAAAGCTGCTCGTCCGACATGCCCGCGCGACCAGCGCCCCCGCCCCTCGCGCCGTCGACGGCGACGTCCTCGCGCTGCGCCTGGCCCCGAGACAGCGCGGAGGTGAGGCCCGACGCCCGCGCCGCGGTGAGCCGCGAGCGGCGCGCGGCGCGCGGCCCCGATCTCTGCCGCGTGAACTCATGATCGCTGGGCCTGAACATAAGCAAAGTCCTCGCCCGCGCCTCGGCCTCGCCGTCGTCGTCGGCGCCTTCGGCGCCCTGGAGCAACGCCTTGGCGACCTCCTGGTAGACGGGGGGCCCCTTGAAGCCGTGCACCTGCAGCCAGATTCCCCGCGGTAGATAGCGGGGGCGGACAAACTGGCCCGGCGAGCGCGCGGCGCTCCTCGCACCGCTGATCGCCCTCGGGGTGGAACTCGGAGGATGCGACGGTGGCCCGCTGCTCCTGCGCGAGCCCCAACTGCTTCTGCTCTCCCTGCGCTGCCGTGAATCACACCTCCACGCCGACGCGGGCTGGTAAGACGCCGTGGATGTCCCCTCGTCTTGCGCATATTCGGGGCTTTCAGGAGGCGCCGGCCCGCGTCGGGGTCGCCCTGAATCGCGCTGCACTCGTCCACGGCCGGCAAAAAAACAAAGGGCGCGCCCAGACGCCGCGCGTCGCAACGAGCGCGCGCGTTGATCCACGTCGCCAGCGCACCCCAGCACACGCCAGCGCCGCAGCCGAGCCGAAAGTTGTCGCGCCGGCGCCGAGGGCCCAGGGCGCCGCAGCTGTCCAAGGTCAACGTCGCTTCCCAAGCAGACCAGACCTCTGGCGGGAAGGGCTCGCCCTCGCGCACGCAGCCCAATAACACGATCAGGGGGCCCCCGGGCTGGAAGCGCTTCGCGCCTGTCAGCTCGAAGACGCAGGGGATCGGAGAGAAGACCTCTATGGCGTGCTGAATCCCCACCGTCGGCGGCTCCGCGTACACGTAGGACCCGTCGTCCAGGAGCTCGTTCGCGTCCGTCAGGAGGCCGATGGTGCCCGTGTGCTTCAGCTGCAGGAAATCGCCGAAGTGCAACGCGATGGGGGCGCGCGCCCGAAAGGGCTGCGCGGCCGGTCGCGCGCGTCGCTGCGTCCGCGGCATGCGCGAAGGTCCAGCTCGACGCATGGCTCGGCCGCCACCCGCCTGATACTTCCTCCACGCCCAAGCCTCAGAAGCCAAAAAATGACGAGAGTTATAAATTTCCAACGACCCGCCCGGATTAAAAACATGGGCGGCGGGCCCCCCAGGGAGAGGGCCCCCGCCCGAGACCTCCTCTAATTCACTCGCAGACGAAGCCCCCGCCTGATACTTGCCCCATCTTCAATCCCCGGGGGACCCGCTCGTATTAAAAACGTGAATGGCGGGCCCCTTAGGGTAAAGGCCCCCGCCCGAAACTTCCTCGCCGCCCACTCACAGACGAGGCCCCCGCGCGATACTTCCTCCACATTCAGGCCTCAGGGGCCCAAAAAATACGACAGTTACGGGATTCCGATGACCCGCTCGGATCAAAAAACATGAGCGGCGGGCCCTATAGGGAGAGGGCACTTGCCCGAGACTTCCTCGCAATTCACTCACGGACAAGGCCCCACCGGATACTTCCTCCACAAGCAGACCTCAAGGGCCCAGAAGTGACGACAGCCAGAACATTCCGATGGCCCGCTCGGGGTAAAAAAATGAATGGCGGGCCCCGCAAGGAGAGGGCCCCCGCCGGAGACTTCCTCGCAGTTCACTCGCAGACGAGACCCCCGCCTGATACTTCCTCCATATCCATGCCTCAGGGGCCGAAAAAAGGCGACAAATACAAAATTCCCCCCCCAAACAAAAAAAAAGGCTCGGATTAGAAACGCGCGCGGCGGGCCGCAAAGGGGGGGGGGTCCGCCCGAGACTTCCTCGCACTTCACTCGCAGATGACGCTTTGTTGACGATGGCGTTGTGATAATGATGACAATGATGATGAGGGTGAATGGTAGTTGTGAGGGAGTGAGCGGGGCGGGGAATGGGAGCGCGTGCGAATGCGTAAGCGATGATGATGCGGCGATGACGATGACGATGCGAGTGCGCGAATGCGCGAGTGAGAAGGGCTCGCGCGGGGTGCCCAGAGAAGACCCAAGCTGCATTTCGGTGGTGACGGGGCGGTGGGCACGCGCGCGCGTCATTGCGCGCGCAGGCTGATATCCTTCACAAACCTTAGGTGCCGCTGGGAATGCATGGCCGAGTG